GTGTGTGTGTGTGTGTGTGTGTGTGTGTGTGTGTGTGTGTGTGTGTACATGGATACATGCACAGTAACCTACAACCATATTTTGCAACCGTCATGAATCAATATGAAAGCAATCAGATTGTAAGTTTGAATCCACTTGCTGACGAATTTATATTGATATTGTTTCTGTTCGTTGTATCGTGTTCATGTACATCAAAATTAGTTCGTTATGGCAGTTGTCACCTTAAAAAAGAAGTCTAGTTGTAATGCAAACGGTACCCTCTATTAGTAGTCCGTCATATGCTTGTCACCTGCTGTCGCTGAGGTTCAAAGCGCAATGATCTATACAGTTTCTATACAGTTAGTTGCGACAATTCCAATAACGAGCACGTGCTGGGTGTTTTGTAACACTGACTCCAATAGTGAGCACTAGCGGACTACTGCCCTTCCATCGCCGATTCTATGATATAAGCCTACTCTATACTATTGATTGCTGTTTGGAACATTCGTATATATGAACGAATTGAAAGTCATGATTTTCTACTTGATTTCAACTTTTACTCTGCTTCTTGCCAGTTCGTTTGTCGTTGAACACGAGCACGTATGTACTAATAGCTTGCAAGATATCAACAAGGCATTATATGTATTCAGCGGGTGTGCTGTTTCGTTGTTACTTTAGAGTTTTATTGGTTCGATTCTCGATCTGTGTGGGTTAAAAATTATGCTTTCAAGAATTGCAACATGGTGCGGTATCGAATGGTACCGCTGGAGGCTTCCATTTTTGTGCTGTCGTCCGCACTTCGACGCCTGTTTTCTTGTACTGGAACCCCTTGGGAAGCCAGCCGAGTTTGAACACATATACTTCCATCTCATCGGAGTATATTTTGCACTTCAGGCGTTTGGACTTGGGCATGCTGTTAGGGATAAAGAAAGGGGAGGCTGTGGGAGGGGATTATAAAAAATCTTGGAAATATGAATATTTCAACCTTATTGTGAGGTGCAGACCAGCAACTTGACACAATTATTGACATTCTGGCAATAGCAAAAAGATGACAGCAGACTCTCACCTTCTCAAGCCACTGATGTGCGTAATGATCCGCATGTCGATAAGATCATTAGCAGACATTTTTATATAACCGTACGGGTGCTTCGTACTCTTAGACATCAATGACCTGCGAAGAAAGGTACAATTTTTAGTCTGCCATGCAATAAGTGGGCGATGATATCAAAGTGTACGGAAAACAGAACACCCGCGAGAAAGGATCGATAAATGCAGTTTTCTCTAAGGGAGGTGAAAGCAAAAATGGATATCCTACGAATAGAAAAGCGCCGACTCGCAGTATATAATACAAATTCATCGTTGGTACAGTGTGCAGTTCCGCTAAAATACTAAAAATCCTAAAAATCACAGATAATACTTACTTTTTCTTTTTTTCCGGAACAACACACTGTTCCGACGACGAATTTGTGCTGTACACTGCAAGTTGCCGCTTTTCTATTCAGAGGGCATCCATCTTTGCTTTCACCTCCCTTAACGAAAACTGAATAACTTCGATCCGTTCTCGCTTCAACGGCATCGAAAGTATGACCTACAATAGCGACAAAAATGAATTATACCGGAATTTCAATATTTGATGTATAACAAAACTATTGCATTCATTCATCCTCTCTCGCACAAATGACACTAAATGTTCTACTACCATATATAGCCACCAAATTAAAATTAAACTTTAGGGTTTTAACGTATAGCTAAATTTTTCGAAATGTGTTAGTATGTGGCGTAAATGTAGCTATTTGACTTTGTGAGAATTTACTGAACCGATGAACAGCAAGAACAAGATTCACATTTAGTCCCATATACCTTTGCAAGCTCGTCGACCAACATCTGATATTCTTCACCTGTGCCGAAGCAGCCTGCGCTATGCAGCCGAGTGAGCTCATTCCGCAAACTCTCCTGCACAGGTAGACGCTAAGGTAAATATCATATAATATATCACTCACAAGATTAGAGCAAGATACTTGAGAGACTTTTCCAATGCGATGCAATAGCCCAACGAACCCTCACAACCCCCACTGAATTTTGTATATGTCTCGTTACTGGCTTGGCATTCTTTATTTACTATGTGTACGCACATCCAGTGATAACAATACTCCCCTTAGTAGAGCGATTAAACTTATACTTGTACGAGATTCTCGAAAATAGTACCATGGAACCCTGGGAAGCCTAGAACTGGCAACGCACATATGTTGCAGATAGATTCATATCGTTGTATACGATTAGCCAACTTATCGTTGTATACGATTAGCCGTTTCTGACAATCTTTGCGGGCATTACATATACACATATGTACCCTTTGCGGGTATCATATATATATATATATATACTCATGCTTAAGCTTTCCTGGAATCACATATATATGTGGTTGATTTTGGGATGGGACAATAATCTGTAATTCGGGTGCTTGTTATGTAATGTATGTTTTGGTGATGACATGACTAGTCGAGTATCGCTTTTACGTTACCTGAATCTCCAATAGCGTCTTCCCTGTAATAGTCGTATCCTCCTCAACTGCAGACTCTACCCAACCTCTGCTAGAACCTTCCGATTTCTCTCCACTAGTAGTGGACGACATATCAGAGTCAGGATCACAATCGTTCGACAAGGTCTGCCAGCTGTGTAGACAATCAACCCATTGAGATGAGCACAAACAAGTCTCGTGAACACTGCTTGCGGCTGGCATACAGAGACACTTCGTTGTGAGCGCAAATGTCTCACACGCGTGCTCAATTAAGTTTCAACTAAAAACGTCTGCAGCTACCAATATCTCACATCACACGTCATGCTTCGATATACATCTTCGTATCTTAAGCTATCTGAAAAACCATTCAGGTGGATCTGGACAAGTTGTGTATGCTTTATACATTTCAGATTTGTGTAGTCAAATACGCGAGTTAACAATATCTCAACGTACCTCCTGTAGAAATACGGCCTCCGGTCAGACT